CATGGCCATACAGCCCAAAAAAACCTACAACAACCCACATCTGAGGTTCTTTTCTCTACTAAAGGAGGCAGGGGAGATTCCAAAATGGAGATCTCAACCCCAGGAAAAAGGGTGGACTCCAAACCCAAAGAGATACTTTCTAAACCAATAACTGCAGAGAGCCTGCAGCCTGGTGAGAAGATGCTAGCCAATTGTAAAGGTTGTACGCCAATTGAATTGTACAGGGCTGCCACCAATTTGCGAGGTCTATCCCACCTCTGACACCAAATTTGCAAAGTCTGCACGCACCAGTTGCACAATTGTGCCAATTGCGAAGGTGCTGCAATTCTAACAACAGACAGGGTATAGGGTTTTTAACTTTAAAGAACCCACCCTCTGTCACCAATTGTACTGTATGTTCTTAAATTCTGCCACCAATTATACAGGTGTGGATGATTATGGATGTAATTAAGGTAACTGCCACCAACGTGAGGTATTGCCAATGAGAACTGGCTCCCCAGACGCAGATAAATGGAGATGACACGGTCTTCAACAAAAGTTAATAAGTTTATTTTGTACAAATCGTATGGTTGCAGGCTGTTAAATAACTTGGAAATACTTTGAATAACTTATAGAACTTTGAATGTAACTGGGTTTGCAATACAGTTCTCTCTTCTCGATGACACAACTTGTGTTTGACTCTTACTGAAGTGAAGCACTTTCTTAAACAATGTTTCCTGAGGTGAATAGCCTTCCTATTTGATCCTTTCTTGATCAAATCCTAGATCTCTAGTTCTTTCCTAACTAGTGATCTAAACAAGCTTCCCTTAGTCCTCTCTGACTAATGAAACTAATTAGGTTTCCCCCTTCAGCCTTCCTAGACTGAAGAAACCTCTGGCTATTCACACATACTGCTTCTCCATTCTCCACTCTCCTCTCTCAACTGCTAACTCCGAACTCCAACCCTCAACTGAACTGCTTCTTTTCAAGACGCAGATAACATTTTCTTGCTTGGCTCCGCCCACTTTTCATTCTCCTGCCTGGTCTCCTTGGCAACCGCACTGTGGATACAACCAGTTAGCTCTAGCTTTCAGCTACTGTTACCAACACGAATATATTCTAACAGTTAAACATATACACAGTATTAATAACTTCTGCACACCTGGCTTTCCAGACCCTGATACTGTTTAACTTCCAGGGTGCTGCTGGGTCAATAGCAACCCTGGGGAAATGCAAAGGAATGCTATCCCATGCAGCTAAAAGACAATGCACACCAAGCTCCTGGAAGACGGAACAGGACCTATATCAAAACACAACATCTTCAATGTTTTGCATATACTTCACACAATTTTATAAACACTGTTAGAGACCCTAGATTGGGTCTTTTTAGGTCCAGTCGTGGGAGCACGGAAGGATGGAGACAGTCCCAATGAAAGATAAAAAAACAAGGTTTTATTTTAGTTTCTTCATGAAGAAAGACGAACAGCCTGATAGCATTACGCAGATGCTATCCTTCAAGTGGCTGCCATCCCCTCCCTTGAAATCTGCTAACTTTTATAGCCCTTTACAAACAGAGAGCTCAGGGAAAACACCTTTTATGAATAATAATTCTGACCTTTTTGATGGAAAAGTACCTTCTGTACATGCGGCCTCTGCGCTTCAAAAACAACATTTGAAGTTAACCACAAACATCCTGTTTAAGAAGTATCTCCTAAATGTCACATCTTGTTTCTTCCGTGGTGCTCTACAGAGAAAGGGTATATCTCTCTTTTGTTAATTTCATTCAAAGCCCCTTACTTAGTATTTGCAAATTTCGCTCAAAGACCCTTTCAACACAATATATGTAATAAGTGAGTGCATGAAGCCAAGGTCATGTAGTGAACCACCAGAAAGTCAAAAAGTGACTATCGCAGCCATCTATGCAGATAGTGTTGGATTTTGGAATATGCAGTAAGCAGTGCTTGGTCTGTGTATATATGTGTGTGGAATGCAAACTCATTAATCTGGGACAGAGGAACCAAGGGAAAGAATAAAGGGAAATGCAATGTACAGTGACAAGAAGGAGCTGGGCTCAGCAAAGGCTCGCTGCTCTAGAGAGCTGCCCCATTGAAAATGCCCCGGTCAGCAAAGACCTCTCTGTGTCACCAAGCCTAGAATTATGCCAACGCAAAGACTGCAGGCTTCGCCTCCCTGGTATTTATGTACCCTGCATTTCTATAAATATATATTATCATGCTGGCCTTCCAAATATATACACGTGAAAAGCATATAATGAAAGAGGCAACAAGATCCATCAAAACAAGGCACAAACACAGTAGCAATTAAAACCAGCTTAACTCTGCAAAGGCTGTCTCTGAACCAATATCGTCTTTTTACCCACCTCTTCTAATAGCATTGTTGTTGTTGTTGTTTTTGTTGTTGTTGTTAGAGTATAGTTCACACAGTATCGCAGTGGTCTCAGAAAGTGAGTGAAGGTACTGCAAGTCCCATCATCCATGGTCCATTCTCCTCCAAATCCCACCAGGATGTAGAGTGGGTCATGGGGGCTCTGTGTACCAAATCTGGTCTTGATCCGTCATTGGATGAGGGTTGCAGTGGTTTCTAGAAGTGAGTGGTGGTACTGCATATCCCATCGTCCATGGTCCATCCTCCTCCAAACTGCACCAGGGTGCTCCGTGTGGCTCCGTGTGCCAAGTTTGGTCTTGATTAGTCATTGGATGAGGGTCACAGTGGTTCCAGAAAGTGAGGGAAAGTACTGCAAGTCCCATCATCTGTGGTTGAGCCTCTTCCAAACCACACCAGGATGTAGAGTGGGTCATGGAGGCTCTGTGTGCCAAGTTTGGTCTTGATTAGTCATTGATGATGGTTGAAGTGGTCTCAGGAAGTGAGGGAAGCTACTGCAAGTCCCATCATCCGTGGTCCACACTCCTCCAAACCACACCAGGATATAGAGTGGGTCATAGGGGCTCTGTGAGCCAAGTTAGGTCATCATCAGTCTTTGGATGAGGGTGTCCGTAGTCTCAGGAAGGAAGTGAAGGTACTGCAAGTCCCATAATCCATTGTCCATCCTCCTACAAACTGAAACAGGATGTTGAGTGGGCCATGGAGCCTCTGTGTGCCAAGTTTGGCCATTATTGGTCATTGGTGTGGGTTACAGTGGTCTCAGGAAGTGAGTGAAGGTATTGCAAGTCCCATCATGCGTGGTCTGTCCTCTCCCAAACCACACCATGACATAAAGTGGGTCATGGTGGGTATGTGTGCCAAGTTTGGCCCAGGTCTGTGATTTGTGGGGGCCACGGTATTTTTTTGGAAAGTGGATCGAGTGAGGGTACTGCAAATCCCATCATCTGTGGTCCATCCTCCCCCAAACTACACCAGATTGTTAAGTTGGCCTTGTGGGCTATGTGTGCCAAGTTTGGTCTTGATCAGTCATTGGTGTGGGTTTCAGTTGTCTCTAGAAGTGAGTGAAGGTACTGCGTATCCCATCATCCGTGGTCTGTCCTCCTGCAAACTGCACCAGGACGTAAAGTGGGTCATGGGGGTTAAGAGTGCCAAGTTTGGTCTTGATCCGTCATTGGATAAGCATCGCATTGGTCTCAGAAAGTGAGTGAAGGTACTGCAAGTCCCATCATCCATGGTCCATTCTCCTCCAAACTGCACCAGGTTGTAGAGTGGATCATGGGGGCTTTGTGTGCCAAGTTTGGTCTTGATCAATCATTGGATGAGGTTCTCAGTGGTCTCAAGAAGTGAGTGAAAGTACTTCAAGTCCCATCATCCTTTGTCCATCCTCCTCCAAACTGCTCCAGGATGTAGAGTGGGTCATGGGGGCTCTGTGTGCCAAGTTTGGTCATGATCCGTCATTGCATGAGATTCGCAGCACTCTCTGGAAGAGAGTGGAGGTACTTCAATTCCCATCATCCGTGGTCTATATATTAACTTATTCCAGTCTAGGTTGTGCAAATGTCATGTTCCGTTAATCAATAGCTTTTTCCTGCTCAACAAGCAGATTGTTAATACTGTCAAAAGTTAGAAATTTTCCCACAGAGCAGACATTTCATCTTCGTAATTATTGTATTAAAATATTATATCGGTTCTTAGAAAACAAGAAAGTATTACATTAAAAGCAAATAATCATCCTCACAATATAATATTTCAACATTTCTTGGGGTTCCTTGCGAAACGTTTGCTTCAAAAAGGCATCTGTGTTAGTTCGCCTCAGTGTGAGGTAGGCCTCAGTCTGAGAGAGCCCTCAGTGTGAGAAAACCTGAGTGTGAGGTAGGCCTCAGTCTGAGAAAGCCCTCAGTGTGAGAAAACCTCAGTGTGAAGTAAGCCTCAGTCTGAGAGAGCCCTCAGTGTGAGAAAACCTCAGTGTGAGGGAGGTCTCAGTCTGAGAGAGCCCTCCGTGTGAGAAAACCTCAGTGTGAGGTAGGCCTCAGTCTGAGAGAGCCCTCTGTGTGAGAAAACCTCAGTGTGAGGTAGGCCTCAGTCTGAGAGAGCCCTCAGTGTGAGAAAACCTCAGTGTGAGGTAGGCCTCAGTCTGAGAGAGCCCTCGGTGTGAGAAAACCTCAGTGTGAGGGAGGCCTCAGTCTACAAGAGCCCTCAGTGTGAGAAAACCTCAGTGTGAAGTAGGCCTCAGTCTGAGAGAGCCCTCAGTGTGAGAAAACCTCAGTGTGAGGGAGACCTCAGTCTGAGAGAGCCCTCAGTGTGAGAAAACCTCAGTGTGAGGTAGGCCTCAGTGTTAGTTCGCCTCAGTATGAGTTAGGCCTCAATTTGAGAAGTCCTGGTGTGAGAAGCTTCAGTGAGAGGAGCCCCAGGTTGAAGGTCATTGTGCGTGAAGCTGAAAAGCTTTGAGAACCCCTACTTTAGGATTGCAAAACTAAGGCGGGTGCGATAAAGTCCTGAGACTCATTTAACTCCGTTAATAGTAATAAGGATCACAAAGAACCATAGAAGGGTCTGTAGTTTTGGGGGGATTCCTGAGCTAAATAAACAACCATCTCATTCTTGCTTCTCTTTGCCAGATCTACCGACGTTGTTGGTTGGTATTCCGGAAATCATCGAGCAAAGGGCCCCAGCGGCTGGAGAAATATCCGGATGAGAAGTCCGTCTGCTTACGGGGTTGCCCAAAGGTGAGGATCCCTCCTCCTTGATTTAAATCAGGGATGTCCAAACTTTTTGCAAAGAGGACCAGATTTGGTGAAGTGAAAATGAACCCGGGGGGGGGGGGTGTGTGGGACGGACCACTCAGCTTGACATTTTGTAAACCATGAACATGACATGCAAATGAACTATTTTATGACGTGGCATAATTTTCAGTCCTTCGCACAGAAAACAAATAAATCTAAACATTGTACGTGTTGCAACTCAGAGTAAGCTTCACCTTGCTTCCAAACACCACCACACAAGAGCTGTAGTTTTACAGTTTATTGAGGAGAAAATCCAAGTCAAAATAAAGAATAAGCATTACAAAATTTCAAAGATTAAGGTTAAAAGCAGAATATAGTTCCAAAGATCTTAAGGCAAAAACAGGAGACATAATCCTATTGGCAAAGTTCAAACCACTGCCCCATGAACCACAATGCAAGAAATCCCAAGCGTACTGCTTTCCAGGCTAAGGTTATTCCATGAAGCTTTCAGGCTAGTAAGCTACATTGAACTGACACTTTCTCAGAGTTTGCAAGAGGCCTAAATACCTTTCTAACATGAAAACATTAGGCTCTCATCATCATAAAAGCATTGCGATGACCTTTCACCGAGCTGGCTTCTCGTCTGCTGGCCAGACGAGAACTCCGCCTGACCCGGAGATCAAGACGAGCTTGCCAGGTCAAGTCACTATCTACACTTTTGGTATCAGCGTGGGAAGGCACCTGCTTGCTATCTCCTTCGTTAAAATTCCTTTTTGGTGGTGGGAACGGCTGTGTTGACACTGCACTGTCTGTGAGAGCCTCAGAAGCAAGCCCAGAGGTTTGAGGCACAGACTAAGAGCCAGGAAGCTGTTGCAACCCAGAGCAGGAAACGAGACCCTAAGATAACAATCCACCACACTTGAATGTGGGAAAAACAATCCCTTTTTATTGATGAAAAATGGTTACAAAATAGAGGAAAATGCAAAGTCAAAAAGCCACAGTAAAACTCAGCAATCACAAATATCCATGAACTAGATCAAAAACCAAAAGCAACACTGTAAAATCCTGGAACCTGTTAGCAATCCACTAACCGTACTTTCGTATATTTCAAACTTTTTTGAAGGAAAATTTCGGAATTCTTTAAAAAAACGAAACGCAAGGGCCCCCTTAAAAACTAAATGAGTTTAGAACCAAATTTTTCCGTGGTTACCCAAGCCTAGTATCCAGACCAGAACGGATCGAAGCGACTTTGTCTGCGAAGAACTGAGCAAAAGCTTCCCAGCGAGCTGCCGAGTTGTCAGGGCTCCCATCCTGAGTGACGGAATTTAAAAGGCCTCTGACAACTCGAAACAGCTCAGCCGGACGGTTCTTTGCAGACACAATAGTGGCCGCAAAGAAGGATTTCTTTGCGGCCTTTATCGCCGCGGCATATGCCCTTAGAAAGGACACAAACTGTGTTCGATTTGGCTCGCTTGGATCCGAACGTCACACGCTGTCTAGATAGAGTTATTGCACAAACCCACAGACCTCAGAATGTCACAGCCTCGAACCACAGCTGTTAATGTGATCCTAAAGTGCTAGGATACATTGTATGGATGGGTTTTCATCAGCTTCAGAAACAGAGGCAAAGGCTGTGTTGCAAAGCGATGGGCTTTGCGATGAACCCCAGAGCACAGCTTCGGAGGCAGAACAGAATGAGCCGGAGAGGCGAAGGCGGAAAGAACCGTTCCTTCGCAATCATAAAACTGGGTTATTTTCCACCACAATGGCTCCCTGGGGCCGAGATGTTGTTTTTCCTTCCAATATGTTGTGTCACACAATGGTACCCCAGGGAGGCATCGAAAGACAATAACGGGAACATTTGCCGGAGTGACGAAATGTTGCAGAACGCTGCTGGAGACGATAACATAGAGGTTATCCCTTCCTATAGTTTCCAAGAAGAGCTTTCTTGCCGGGGACAGGACTGTCCACTATTGGAAGAAGTTAGCTTTTGGGGGGATTGCAGTTTCTCAAATCTCCTCAAGCAGCTAGAGAATTGGGGGATGTATGATCCAGAAGAACATAACTTCGATTTTTCCAAGCTCTGATCATTTAGACCCGGCATGGCCAAAGTCCGGCCCGGGGTCCAATTCCGTCCCTTGTTCAAATTGCCATTGGACCCCAACCTCTGTCACAAAATCAATAACTTGATAACTCACTTTCTCTGGAGGTTTCTAAGCAGAGGCTGGATGGCTATCTGTTGGGAGGGCTTTGATTGTGTCTTCCAGTCTGGCAGAAAGAAAGGGATTGGACTGGATGACCTTTGAGGGTCCTTTCCAGCTCTGGGATGCCATGATTCCTGCCCCCTCACCCTCATAACACCCTCCTTTGATATCACAAGGTATCATCCCTTGGTCTGAGGTCTTAGCCCAGAAATCATTATGATAGTATTATATAATATAATATATTGTATATACATATAATATTTATAATATTATAATGTAATACAATATAATACTACTAATAATAATATGATATTATAATTATATATTTTATATTACATGTAATATTACTAATAATATTACAATATAATGGTATAGTACAATATAGTAATATATAATACTGATATTGTACTATGCTAATAAATTAATATAATACTAGCTGTACCCTGCCACGCGTTGCTGTGGCCCACCTTACCTCCCTCTTTCTCTCCTTCTTTCCCTCATTCCCTTTTCTTCTTTCCTTCTCTCCTTCCTTCCTTCTCTTCCTCTTTCCTTCTTCCTTTTTTCTTTTCCTTCCCTTTCTCTTTCTTCCTTCTCTGCCTCTTTCCTTCCTTCCTTCCTTTGGTTTTTGTTTCCATTCTTCCTTTTTTTCTGTCCTTCCTTCCCCCCTCTTTTTCTTTCTCTTCTTCCTTCACTCCTCTTTCCTTCCTTTTCTTTCCTTATCTCCTTCCTTCTTTCTCTACCCCAGTGTTTCTCAACCTGGGGGTCGGGACCCCTCAGGGGGTCGCGAGGGGGTGTCAAAGGGGTCGCCAAAGACCATAAGAAAACACAGTATTTTCTGATGGTCATGGGGATTCCATGTGGGATGTTTGAGCCAATTCTATGGTTGGTGAAGTTCAGAATGTTCTTTGATTGTAATGAACTATAAATCCCAGCAACTACAACTCCCAAATGTCAAGATCTATTTTCCCCGGACTCCACCAGTGTTCACATTTGGGCATATTGAGTATTCATGCCAAGTTTGGTCCAGATCCACCATTGCATGAGTCCACAGTGCTCTCTGGATATAGGTGAACTACAACTCCCAAACTCAAGGTCAATGCCCATCAAACCCTTCCAATGTTTTACATTGGTCATTGGAGCCAAGTTTGGTTTAAATCCATCACTGGTGGAGTTCGGAATGCTCTTTGATTATAAGTGAACTATAAATCCTAGCAACTACAACTCCCAAATTACAAAATCCAATCCTCGCCCAACCCCACTAGCATTCACATTTGGGTGTATTGGGTATTTGTGCCCAGTTTGGTCCAGTGAATGAAAATGCATCCTGCATATCAGATATTTACATTATGATTTATAACAGTAGTAAAATGACTGTTATGAAGTAGCAATGAAAACAATATTATGGTTGGGGGTCACCACAACATGAGGGACTGTATTAAGGGGTCACCGCATTAGGAAGGTTGAGAAACACTGCTCTACCCATTTCTTTCCATCCCTCTTCATTTCCTCTTTCTCTCTTTTCTTCCTTTTCTACCTCTTTCCTTCTTTCCTTCACTCTTTGCTTCCATGTTTCCTTCTCTGTTTCCTTTCTTCCTTCAATGTTTTTCCTCTTCCTTGATTGGGCCCGCCGCGGGGAAGGAAGGGGGCGTGTCTTACCGGAGGGGGGTGGGAGGAGGGAAGGATTGAGTGAGGGAGGGAAGGGGTGGGGGGGCGAAGAAAGGGGGTGTCGCATGGGCAGGGTAAGATGAAGGAGGGGGAGGAGGGTTGTTTTTGAGAGGGCGGGAAGCGGCGCGGCAGGGCTTGGAGTGGGCGGGGGCTTCCTTGGAGGCGGCGTGTTGTGGCGTGATCGTGTGGGGCGGGCAGGGGGAGGGAGGGGGTGTGGTGTGGGGTGATTGCGCGGGGCGGGACGACGGAGGATGGGGGCTTGGCTTGCGCGGAGGGAGCGTTGGCCGGCAGGCCATGTATGCGCGCCAGGGAACTTGCAGCTGGGTACCATTGCGCATGCTCAGTTGTTTTGTCGTTTTGTGAGTGTATTGTTGTGTTGTTTTTTATTTTGATTCGATATGTTTGTACCTTGTGGGTTGAGGTATGTGCGTGGGAATTTTGGTTAATTTTCGTTGGGTTTTTTTTTTAGTTTTGCTGTCTTGTTGGACGCTCCTTACCGATTTATAGATATAGATTGTATGGATATATATTAGGGCTGGGCGGTTTCGTTTCGTTAATTCGTAATTCGTTAATAATTCGTTAATTTTTTCAATTACAAAACGATAACGAACCATTCTGGAGCAATTTTTTTAAAAAAACGAATTTTCAAAAACGTTTTGTAAATGCTTCGTATTTCGTTATTGTATTCGTTTCGTTATTGTTTTGAGGTCGTTTCGTTATTATTTCCGCATGTCTGGGGCAAGTTTTATGGTTGTTTTTTGTTTAATTAGTGAAAAAAAATTATAATATCACACCAACAGTCAACAACAGAGGGAGAGGGAAGCTTCAGAAGTTCCCCCTGTCCCATTTGGAGTTTTTTTAGCGTATTTCGCGGTCGCGTCCGCCATTAACGAATCGATTCGTTATTGTTTCGGAAATCGATTCGTTAATGTTTTGTAATTTTTTTCACATTTACGAAATTTCGTAAATATCGAACTTTTTAAAAGGAAAATTTTGTAATTATTTTAAATAACGAAACGCAAAAAAACCCAAAAAATGAATTGATTTTAGAAACAAATTTTTCCGTTGTTACCCAGGCCTAATATATATCTAGTAAGCTGCTCTGAGTCCCCTTCGTGGTGAGAAGGGCAAGATATAAATGTCGTAAATAAATAAATAAATAAATATTTTCCTCTCTTGAAAGAGACGTACTGTTGTGGATGAGGATGATGGGATTCAGATTCCTGCTGGGATTCAGCTTCTATTGGGGTTCAGCCTGGGTGTGAACCTGAACCTGCTTCTCTCATTGTATTTCCTGATGCTACTGAAAATGTATTTTCTGATGCTCCTGATGCTAATGAATATGTTGATTCTGAGGTCAGTGTAGAAGAAACTCCTGCAGGCTTGGAAGGGTTGGAAAGTGAAAGTACACAATCTCCTGAGAATGTTTCAGGGTCAAGCGGTGATAGCTCTCCAGAGAGGCTTACACCTGGGATCCTTAATGAGGATAGAAGAGGACAGATTTGGAGAAACAGGAGTGAATCACAGAGTCTGCGAAGGTCAAGCAGATTCAAAGAAAAAGAAACAAGGACTTCAAAGCCTGGAGGCGTGTCACGAAACAGTTTCCTCGGCGTTAAGTGCCTCTCGCCGGGTTGACTCTTTAGATCAGGCACCGTTTTAGACTGAGGCATTACCTTGGCAGATCTCGCGTTTCCCGTGGCCTTCATCCCAAGAGGCTTCTAATTTCGAAACAATTTTGAACCAATTACGAAACAATACGAAATAAATTGGAAAAATTGTTTCGATTTTTAATTACTCCTCACAGTAGTCCTGCATGGCTCAATATTGGATTGTAAGCGAATTTAAATACAAATTAATAACGAATTACGAAATTAACGAACGAAACCACCCAAGCCTACTGGATACCATGTTAACGGCAGTCTCTGAGGATGTAACTGGAACATCTGCTTGTCTGGTTTTAATGGATTCATTTCAATTGGTGAAACCCGAGGATGTGGACAAGATACTTGGAGGAATGAGGCCTACCACATGCATCCTAGACCCCTGCCCATCCTGGCTTTTAAAGGAGGCCAGAGGGGGATTTGGCCGAATGGGTAAAGGTGGTGGTTAATGCCTCCCTTTGGGAAGGCAAGATTCCAGCGAGCTTAAAACAAGCTATAATAAAAACGCTGTTGAAAAAAACCATCACTGGACCCCACTCAATTCGACAACTTTCGGCCAGTTTCCAATCTCCCCTTCTTGGGCAAAGTCTTGGAACGTGTGGTGGCCTCACAACTCCAGGTATTCCTGGTAGACATGGATTATCTGGATTCGGCACAGTCTGGCTTTAGGCCGGGACATGGAACTGAAACAGTCTTGGTCGCCTTAGTGCAGTGGTTCTCAACCTTCCTAATGCCGTGACCCCTTAATACAGTGTTTCTCAACCAGGGGGTCGGGACCCCTGAGGGGGTCGTGAAGGGATTTCAGAGGGGTCACCAAAGAGCATCAGAGAACACATATTTCTGGTCTTAGGAAACCCTTTGGCAAATAAAGCTGAAGATCTCTCTACCTGTCTTCCTCTTCATTTTTGGAAACAGATGGCAAATCCTTCCACCAAAAGCCCTCCTCCTGCTCTCTGGATGTAGGTGAACTACAACTCCAAAATTCAAGCTCAATGCCTACCAAACCCTTCCAGTATTTTCTGTTGGTTGTGGGGGTTCTGTGTGGAAGGTTTGGCCCAATTCTATCATTCGTGGGGTTCAGAATGCTCTTTGATTGTAGGTGAACTATAAATCCCAGCATCTACAAATTGCAAATATCAAGATYTGTTTTCCCCAAACTCCACCAGTGTTCACATTTGGGCTTTTTGAGTATTTGTGCCAAGTTTGGTCCAGATCCATTGTTGTTTGAGTCCACAGTGCAGTCAGGATGTAGGTGAACTACAACTCCAAAACGCACRGTCAATGCCCACCAAACCCTTCCAGTATTTTCTTTTGGTCCTGAGCAGTCCGTGTGCCAAGTTGGGTTCAATTCCATCTTGGGTGAAGTTCAGAATGCTCTTTAATTGTAAGTAGACTAGAAATCCCAGCAATTACAACTCCCAAATGACAAAATCAACCCCCCCCCCAAAAAAAAACCCTCCACAGCATTCAAATTTGGGTGTATTGTGTATTTGTGCCAAATTTGGTCCAGTGAATGAAAATACATCCTGCATATTAGATATTTTACAATTCATAACAGTAGCAAAATTAGAGTTATGAAGTAGCCACAAAATAATGTTATGGTTGGGGGTCACCACAACCACATGTGGAACTGTATTAAGGGGTCGCAGCATTAGGAAGGTTGAGAAGCACTGCCTTAATACAATCCCTCATGTTGTGGTGACCCCCAACCATAATATTGTTTTTGTTGCTACTTCATAACAATCATTTTACTACTGTTATAAATCATAATGTAAATATCTGATATGCAGGATGTATTTTCATTCACTGGGAACAAATACCCAATACACCCAAATGTGAATGCTAATGGGGTTGGGGGAAGATTGATTTTGTAATTTGGGAGTTGTAGTTGCTGAGATTTATAGTTATAATCAAAGAGCATTCTGAACTCCACCAGCGATAGATTTGAACCAAACTTGGCTCCCATGACCAATGGAAAACACTGGAAGGGTTTGATGGGCATTGACCTTGAGTTTGGGAGTTGTAGTTCACCTATATCCAGAGAGCACATGCCATGGTGGATCTGGACCAAACTTGGCATGAATACTCAATATGCCCAAATGTGAATACCGGTGGAGTCTGGGGAGAATAGATCTTGACATTTGGGAGTTGTAGTTGCTGGGATGTATAGTTCATCACAATCAAAGACTATTCTGAACTCAACCAACGATAGAATTGGCTCAAACTTTCCACATGGAATCCCCATGACCATCAGAAAATATTATGTTTTCTTATGGTCTTTGGCGACCCCTCTGACACCCCCTCGCGACCCCCTCAGGGATTGAGAAACACTGCCTTAGTGGATGATCTACGCCAGGAGATAGACAGGAGGAGTGTGTCCCTGTTGGTTCTGCTGGACCTCTCAACGGCCTTTGATACCGTCGACCACGGTATCCTTCTGGAACGCCTCACGGGAATGGGCCTTGGAGGTACTGTTTTGCAGTGGCTCTGGTCCTTCCTAGAGGGTCGTTCCCAGAAGGTGTTACTGGGGGACACCTGTTCTACCCCACAACCATTGTCTTGTGGGGTTCCACAGGGTTCAATATTGTCTCCCATGTTGTTTAACATCTACATGAAGCCGCTGGGGGAGATCATCCGGAATTTTGGGGTACGGTGTCACCTGTACGCAGATGACGTCCAACTCTATCACTCCTTTCCACCTTCTACTAAGGAGGCTGTCCAGGTCCTGAACTGGTGCTTGGCCGCTGTATCGGACTGGATGAGGGCTAACAAATTGAAATTGAATCCAGACAAGACAGAGGTACTCCTGGTCAGTCGCAAGGCCGAACAGGGCATAGGGTTACAGCCTGTGTTGGACGGGGTTACACTCCCCCTGAAGACGCAGGTTCGTAGCTTGGGTGTGATCCTGGACTCATCACTGAGCCTGGAACTCCAGGTCTTGTGCGCCAGCTGCGCCCATACCTTGGGAAGTCTGACTTGGCCACGGTAGTCCACGCTCTGGTTACATCCCGTATAGACTACTGGAATGCTCTCTACGTGGGCTTGCCTTTGAAGACTGTTCAGAAGCTCCAAATGGTCCAACGGGCGGCAGCCAGTTTGCTAAGAGGAGCGGCGCTCAGGGAGCACACAATTCCTTTGTTGCACCAGCTCCACTGGTTGCCAACCTGCTACCGAGCACAATTCAAAGTGCTGGATTTAGACTCAGGGCGGATTACATGGCAAATATTCAATGCCATAGACATACAACATATATAGACAGACACAGAGGCTGTCACAGAGAATTTAACATTCCAGCTTCATGAAGTTATGCTCAGTTCCATCCACAGGCAGAGCTGATACTTCACCATCCACTTGTGACACCGAGTCCTTCGAGGGAGTACTTCCTCACTCTTACACACACTGCTGGAAGGTTTTATGGCGTCGTAAATTAGATTAGCCTCCCCGCATAAAGCGGTACTTAAATTTCCTACTTGACAATGCAACTGTCTTTCAGGCTGCATAGGTGGACAGCAAGCTAGACTATTAATGGTCAGGAGCTTACTCTGACATACAACATATATAGGCAGACACAGAGGCAATTTAACATTCCAGCTTTTCCAGTTTCATGAGGGTATGCTTGGTTCCGGCCACAGGGGGAGCTGCTGCTTCACCGTCCACTTGTGACAGCAAGTCCTTTGATGGAGTACTTCCTCATTCTTATGCATGCTGCTGGAAGGTTTTATGGCGTCGTAAATTAGTTAGATTAGCCTCCCCGCATAAAGCGGTACCTAAATTTCCTACTTGACAGATGCAGCTGTCTTTCAGACTGCATAGGTCAACAGCAAGTTAGACTATTAATGGTTGGGAACTTACTCTGACATACAATATATACAGAGAAACACAGAGGCAATTTAACATTCCAGCTTTTCCGGTTTCATGATGGTATGCTTGGTTCTGGCCACAGGGGGAGCTGCTGCTTCACCGTCCACTTGTGACAGCAAATCCTTTGATAGAGTACTTCCTCATTCTTATGCATGCTGCTGGAAGGTTTTATGGTGCAAGCTAGACTGTTAATGGTCGGGAGCTTACTCTGACATACAACATATATAGGCAGACACAGAGGCAATTTAACACTCCAGCTTTTCCGGTTTCATGAGGGTATGCTTGGTTCCGGCCACCATCCACTTGTGACAGCGAGTCCTTTGATGGAGTACTTCCTCATTCTTACGCACACTGCTGGAAGGTTTTATGCCATCGTAAATTAGTTAGATTAGCCTCCCCACATAAAGCGGTACCTAAATTTCCTACTTGACAGATGCAACTGTCTTTCAGGCTGCATAGGTAGACAGCAAGCTAGACTATTAATGGTCGGGAGCTTACTCTGACCTGGGCTGGCAGGTCTACTAAACTAGGCTCAGAGTCTTGCAGACCTTCTCTGAAGTTCAGAATTAACCCAACGAAAGAACCTCTTGCTTCTTGACAGGTCACCGAGATCAGCAACGTGAAGTGCATCACTCGGCTGCCCAAGGAGACCAAGCGGCAAGCCGTGGCCATCATTTTCACCGACGACTCAGCTCGGACATTCACCTGCGAGTCCGGTAAGTGATGGGCATCTCGGGAGCAGTGTGGGCATTGAACTGCCATTCACACTCAAAACCATGAGCCAATAGTGTGATGCAGGAGCTTAAAAAACCAATATTTGATACACAACAAGATGAGTCCACAGCAGACAATGTCACTCTACTGACTGTTGTATTGGATCACACGTCGAACGCTTCCCAAGTGTCTAGAACTGTGTGATGTATTGGCAAATAATGCGTACACATCCCAGTAAGGTGGCCTTCTGCAGCGGGCAGGTGGTAATCTTGTCAGCACCGATTGTGTTTAAGTGCAGGCCAAGGTTTTGAGGCACTGCACCCAGTGTGCCGATCACCACTGGGACCACCTTGACTGGCTTGTGCCAGAGTCTTTGCAGTTCGATTTTTCAATCTCATATCGTGTCAGCTATTATTATTACTATTATTATTATTATTATTATTATTATTATTATTATTGTATTGTCGCAGGCTTTCATGGCTGGAATCACTAGGTTCTTGTGGGTTTTTTCGGGCTATAGGGCCATGTTCTAGAGGCATTTCTCCTGACGTTTCGCCTGCATCTATGGCAAGCATCCTCAGAGGTAGTGAGGTCTGTTGGAATTAGGACAATGGGTTTATATATCTGTGGAATGGCTGGTGTGGGGCAAAGAGCTCTTCTCTGCTGTAGCTAGGTGTGAATGTTTCAACTGACCACCTTCATTAGCATTTGAAGGCCTGGCTGAGCCTGGGAAAATCTTTTGTTGAGAGGTGTTAAGATGTGCCTTGTTGTTTCCTCTCTGCTGTTTTGCTGTTTGCTGGCCCTGGACATTCCACAGATATATAAACCCAATTTTCCTAGTTTCAACAGACCTCACAACCTCTGAGGATGCTTGCCATAGATGCAGGCGAAACGTCAGGAGAAATGCCTCTAGAACATGGCCCTAGAGCCCGAAAAAACCCATAAGAACCTATTATTATTATTATTATTATTATTATTATTATTATTATTATTATTATTTCGTGCCAATATCGGTATGTGATATCAATTGTGATAGACAACTTGGGTCAAATAGCAATGCCTGTGTTCTCTGTGCACAATGTCTGCAACTCTCCTTTTCCAGTTGTTTCTCTGCAATCCTGCTCTCACCTGGGATTGCAACATCAACGATCCATACTTGGATTTTTAACACGATTGTGACGTCAGGAGTCTTGTGCTCCAAAACTCTGTCAGTCTGAATTTGGAAGTCCCAGAGTAGTTTGACGTGTTCATTCTCTGTAACTTTTACTGGATTGTGATCCCACCAGTTCTTTGTCGCAGGCAGATGGTGTTTGTGGCACAAGCTCCAATGAATCATCTGAGCAACGTTGTTGTGCCTCTGCTTGTAGTCTGTTTGCACGATCTTCTTGCAGCAGCTGAGGATGGGATCTATTGTTTCACCTGCTTCCTTGTAGAGTCTATGCTTGGGATTTGTCGTCGACTTTTCAATTCTGACTTTTCAACTTCCATTTGTGATATTATTATTATTATTATTATTATTATTATTATTAGAAACACAACAAGATGAGTCCACAGCAGACACTCTGCTGGTTGTTTAATTGGATCACACCTCGGACACTTCCCAAATGTCTAGGACTGTGTGATGTATCAGCAAATCCCAGTAAGGTGGCCTTCTGCAGCTGGCAGGTGGTAATTTTGTCAGCGCTGATTGTGTTTAAGTGCAGGCCAAGGTCTTGAGGCACTGCACCCAGTGTGCCGATCACCACTGGGACCACCTTGACTGGCTCGTGCCAGAGCCTTTGCAGTTCAATCTTTAAATCCTTATATCGTGTCAGCTTTTCTAGTTTCTCTTCAAACCTGTTGTCTCCTGGGATTGCAACATTGACGATCCATACTTGGATTTTTAACACGATTGTGAGGTCAGGAGTGTTGTGCTCCAAAACTCTGTCAGTCTGAATTTGGAAGTCCCAGAGTAGCTTGGCGTGTTCATTCTCTGTAACTTTTTCCGGCTTGTGATCCCACCCGTTCTTTGTCGCAGGCAGATGGTATTTGTGGCACAACTTCCAATGAATCATCTGAGCAACGGTGTTGTGCCTCTGCTTGTAGTCTGTTTGCAYGATCTTCTTGCAGCAGCTGAGGATGGGATCTATTGTTTCACCTGCTTCCTTGTAGAGTCTATGCTTGGGATTTGTCGTCGACTTTTCAATTCTGACTTTTCAAACTTCCATTTGTGATATTATTATTATTATTATTATTATTATTATTATTATTATTATTATTATTAGAAACWCAACAAGMTGAGTCCACAGCAGACACTGCTGGCTGTTGAATTGGATCACACCTCGGACACTTCCCAAGTGTCTAGGACTGTGTGATGTATCGGCAAATAATGCATGCAGATCCCARTAAGGTGGTCTTTTGCAGCTGGCAGATGGTAATTTTGTCAGCGCCGATTGTTTTTAAGTGCACGCCAAGGTCTTGAGGCACTGCGCCCAGTGTGCCGATCACCACAGGGACCACCTTGTCTGGCTTGTGCCAGAGTCTTTGCAGTTCGATCTTTAAATCCTCATCTCGTGTCAGCTTTTCCAGTTGTTTCTCTTCAATCCTGCTGTCGCCTGGGATTGTGACATTGACAATCCATACTTTGTTGTTTAACACAACCATGAGGTCAGGAGTTTTGTGCTTCAAAACTCTGTCTGTCTGAATTTGGAAGTCCCAGAGTAGTTTGACGTGTTCATTTTCAGACTTGTGAACCCACCAGTTCTTTGTCGCAGGCAGATGGTGTTTGTGGCACAAGTTCCAATGAATCACCTGAGCAACGGTGTTGTGCCTCTGCTTGGAGTCTGTCCGTGATCTTCTTGCAGCAGCTGAGGATGGGATCCATTGTTTCATCCACTTCCTTACAGAGTCTACATTTGGTATCTGTCATCGACTTTTCAATTCTGGCTTTGATGACATTGTTGTTGTTGTTATTATTATTATTATTATTTCAGAGCTGGGATTCCTCTTTTCTTTTCTTTTTTTTGCAAGACTAAATGCAATCATAAAGGGATATTGTACGATTCCGCCATGCCAACTTGGTCACATAATTAGGATTTCCTTCCAGGTCTTGAAAGGCATAACTCACGAGTCTTTAGATAACACTGTACATCAATGTTTCTCAACCTTCCTAATCCTATTTTGAGATAGAAAACTGGTCTCAGTCCCATTAAAATGTCCATAAAGCCTGTTCGAAAGGTGAACTATAAATCCCAGCAACTACAACTCCCAAATGAAACCCAACCCCACCAGTATTCAAATTTGGGCGTATTGAAGTATTCGTGCCAAGTTTGGTCCAGATACATCATTGTTTGACTCCATAGTTCTCTCTGGATGGAGGTGAACTACAACTCCCAAACTCAAGGTCAATGCCCACCAAATCCTTCCAGATTTTTTTTTTTTTGGTTGGTTGGTCATGGGAGTTCTGTGTGCCAAGTTGAGTTCAATTCCATTGTTGATGTAGTTCAGAATACCCAGAAACTACAACTCCCAAATGACAAAAACAGAGTCTACACTTTGGGACCTTCACAGGCAGTCTTGGCGAGAGTCAGTTTGTCCCTAACGCCTGATGCTTTCCCAATTTTGCAGAACTGGAAGCTGAAGAGTGGTACAAGACGCTGTCGGTGGAGTGCTTGGGCGCCCGGCTCAATGATATCAGCCTCGGAGAACCGGATTTGCTGGCTCCGGGAGTGCAGTGTGAGCAAACCGGTAAGGATGAGACGCTAGAAACTTTGGTTTGCCCTGCAAGAAGGGATGCAGAGGGTCCAACCATGGTATATATACCAAGATAACTAGCTGTATTTTCCAATATCCAAGTAACTTATTTTGAACTACTTTTCTTAATACACCTACATTTACCTCATCCAATTGTCATAGAATCAAAGAGTTGGAAGAGACCTCATGGGCCATCCAGTCCAACCCCCTGCCAAGAAGCAGGAATATTGCATTCAAATCACCCCTGACAGATGGCCATCCAACCTCTGTTTAAAAGCTTCCAAAGAAGGAACCTCCACCACACTCCGGGGCAGAGAGTTCCACTGCTGAACGGCTCTCACAGTCAGGAAGTTCTTCCTCATGTTCAGATGAAATCTCCTCTCTTGTAGTTTGAAGCCATTGTTCCGCGTCCTAGTCTCCAGGGAAGCAGAAAACAAGCTTGCTCCCTCCTCCCTGTGGCTTCCTCTCACATATTTATACATGGCTATCATGTCTCCTCTCAGCCTTCTCTTCTTCAGGCTAAACATGCCCAGCTCCTTAAGCCGCTCCTCATAGGGCTTGTTCTCCAGACCTTTTATCATTTTAGTCGCCCTCCTCTGGACACATTCCAGCTTGTCAATATCTCTCTTGAATTGTGGTGCCCAGAATTGGACACAATATTCCAGGTGTGGTCTAACCGTTATAGAGCTAAAATTTAGGGGTCTTTGCCACATCTTGGAAGAAACTCCAATGGCCATCTAGTCTTCCATCTTATCTATCTATCTATCTATCTATCTATCTATCTATCTATCTATCTATCTATCCATCCATCTTCCATCTATCTATCTATCTATCTATCTATCTATCTATCTATCTATCTATCTATCTATAATAATAAATAGTTTTATAAAATAAAAAATATTATATATATATATAATAAAAAATAAAAATAAAAATAAAATGTTTGTTTGTGGAATTAACATAACTTGAAACCCACTGGACGAATTGACACCAAATTTGGACACAATTCACAATTCACAATGGCTTCAAACTACAAGAGAGGAGATTCCATCTGAACATGAGGAAGAACTTCCTGACTGTGAGAGCCGTTCAGCAGTGGAACTCTCTGCCCCGGAGTGTGGTGGAGGCTCCTTCTTTGGAAGCTTTTAAACAGAGGCTGGATGGCCATCTGTCAGGGGTGATTTGAATGCAATATTCCTGCTTCTTGGCAGAATGGGGGTTGGACTGGATGGCCCATGAGGTCTCTTCCAACTCTTTGATTCTATGATTCTAACCTAGCAGTTGGAAAACATGCAAATGTGAGTAAATCAATAGGTACAGCTCTGGCGGGAAGGTAAAGGCTCTCCATGCAGTCATGCCAGTGGCGACAAGACCTTGGAGGTCTCTATGGACAATGCCGGCTCTTCGGCTTAGCAATGGAGATGAGCACCAAACCTCAGAGTCTGACACAACTGGACTTAATGCCAGTGGACAACCTCCACCTTTACCTACCTTTACCCTATGTGTATATATATATGTGTTTGTGTATACATGTAGTTTTGTGTATACATTATTTTTTAATCTTTTAATTTTAATTACATTTGGCCACCCATAGATTTTAAAGTGAGTTGTCCTATTGATAATGTTTGTGTTATTGTTTTATTGTTTTGTTGTTTTAAATTGCTTGTATTGTTATTGTTATTGCTTGTACTGTTGCATTTTGGGCTCGGCCTCATGTAAGCCGCACCGAGTCCCTTGAGGAGATGGTAGCGGGGTACAAATAAAGTGTATTATTATTATTATTATTATTATTATTATTATTATTATTATTATTATTTTCCCTATGTCTCTGTGGCCAATTTTTTTGTTTTTTTGGCTTTTTTTTCTACTGTGTTTCACAGTTTTTGTATGCAGGGGCGGCTCGTCCATTACGCGAAGTAAGCGGTCGTGGAACACCTTTTTTTTTTTTGCCAGGGGTCAGAGGCGCCTCTGTAAATGCCCCTCGACCGCCACTTGAGGAGCGCCCCCTCAGCTCACAACAGCCCTAGCAGTCGGGGGGAGCCTCGGCTTTCTTGCCTCGCTGCCGGGCGATCCTCTTCCCAAAGGGGCCGGGCCCTTGAGCCTCGCCTAGCCCCTCTCGTTCCTGCTCCACCCGTCCACCGGGTGCGCAAGCAGAGCCAGCGCTCAATCGTTCTCTGCGTTCGATCCCTTCCCCATGACCGGCTCCCTTTCCCGATCCCCCGGTGCTCCACCCGCCTCCTCTCCTCTCCCCAATCCGCGGGTGGGCCAAGGGGCAGAGCCACCCCTGGCCCGCTTCGGGTCCAGAGGCGTGTCTGAAGACCCCAGCATGAGCACCAAAAGTCGCCTCTTCTCCTGACTTTCTCTTCAGCCATTGGGACCAAGAGAGAGAGAGAGAGCCCCTCCAGCTGGAGGTATCTCCCACCTCCGCTCCCTCCTTTGTTTTTGCGCCTACCTTCAGGAAAGGTGGGCATCTCCACCTCTCTCTCTCTCTCTCTCTCTCTCTCGGTCCCAATGGCTGAGGAGAAAGTCAGGAGAAGAGGTGACTTTTGGTGCACACGGTCTTCAGGCACACCTCCGGACACAAAGCGGGCCAGGCAAGGGAGCAAGTGCGGCAAGTGTAGTTACTGGGATGTATAGTTCACCTACAATCAAAGAGCATTCTGAACTCCACCAATGATGGAATTGAACCAAATATGGCACACAGAACTCCCACGAACAGAAAATATATATCAATGATTGGTTGGGGGGGGGGGGCAAAATACTGTTTGCTTACCATTGAAAATTACCTAGGGCCGCCTCTGTTTGTATGAATGAGGGTCACTCGTTGGCCTGAGAGGTGTATTGTGTCCAAATTTGGTGTCAATTCATTATTATTATTATTATTATTATTATTATTATTATTATTATAACTATAAGTTATAATAATAATTCATCCTGTGCGTTTTGAGTTATGTTAATTCCACAAGCAAACATTATATTTATATTTTATATTATTTTATATTATTTTATATTATTTTATATTATTTTATATTATATTATTTAGATAATTTATATATTTAGATAGATAGATAGATAGATAGATAGATAGATAGATAGATAGATAGATAGATAGATAGAGCTCTTGCAGCACGTAAACAAGGAGCAAAGCCACCTTTTGGCTTTTCCCCATTTTCACCTTGGAAGCATTTGCGTGTTTGGACCTTCCGCTTGGTCATTCCTGCTGACCCCTTTCTCCATCTCCCTCCCTCCTCCAGACCGCTTCAACGTCTTCCTCCTACCTTGCCCCAACCTGGACATTTACGGCGAATGTAAGCTGCAGATCACCCACGAAAACATTTACCTCTGGGACATGCACAACCCCCGGGTCAAGCTGGTCTCCTGGCCCCTCTGTTCGCTGCGCCGCTACGGCCGAGATGCCACGCGGTTCACCTTCGAGGCCGGCAGGTAGTAAGACCTACGGGCGCATAAACTTGGGTTTGGGGGGCTCACAGAATGACGCATGCCTTGTTTTGTCCTATTTTATAGGCCTGGTTGATCAAGAAAAAATTTGGTTCTAAAATCGATTTGTAATTGGGGTGTTTTTTTGTTTCGATATTTAAAATAATTACAAAATTTTCCCCCAAAAAAAGTTTTGGTATTTACGAAATTTCGTAAATATTAACGAATTTTTAGAATATTTTTTGTATTTTTTAAGAATAATATTAAAATAATATTAAAAAATATTTTAAAATGGAAAATTAACCAAAAAATGGCCCAAATGTAGACCAAACACAGGCAGGAGACAGCAAATGAGAGCACACACCAACAGAAGAGTCTTTTCTTTTTTAGAATATTTTTTAAGAATAATATTAAAATAATATTAAAAATAATATTAAAAATAATATTAAAAATATTTAAAAATGGAAAATTAACCAAAAATGGCCCAAATGTGGACCAAACACAGGCAGGAGACAGCAAATGAGAGCACACACCAACAGAAGAGTCTTTTCTTTTTTAGAATATTTTTAATAATAATATTAAAATAATATTAAAAAATAATATTAAAATAATATTAAAAAATTTAAAATGGAAAATTAACCAAAAAATGGCCCAAATGTGGACCAAACACAGGCAGGAGACAGCAAATGAGAGCACACACCAACAGAAGAGTCTTTTCTTTTTTAGAATATTTTTTAAGAATAATATTAAAATAATATTAAAAAATAATATTAAAAAATAATATTAAAAAATATTTAAAAATGGAAAATTAACCAAAAAATGGCCCAAATGTGGACCAAACACAGGCAGGAGACAGAAGAGTCTTTTCTTTTTTAGAATATTTTTTAAGAATAATATTAAAATAATATTAAAAAATAATATTAAAAAATATTTAAAAATGGAAAATTAACCAAAAAATTAAGAAACAAATTCACAAAAACCGAAGGAAGTAATTAATCCAAGCAAGGAATATAAGCAGCACTCACAGCAGCAAGGAATGAATCCAATCCAGTTGCTAGCCATTGCCAAGCCAAGAGCCAACCTCTTCTCTCTCCCTCGCCCTCTGCAGCAATGCTACGGCCGCGCGGAGCCGCTTTGAAAGGGCTCGCCGGCCAATCAAAAACAAAACAAACAGCCACGGTGCAGTGCTTGGGAGCGCCGGATTGGCTCCCAGGCACCAGCAGCATCCTCCATCCAATTTCCGAAACGGGCGGAAGCTCGTTAAAAGGATGGGGGATGCCGCTTCGTTATTTTAAAACCCTTCCGGGTTTGAAAAAATGTTTTGATATCGCTTCATAAATGCTCGGAATAACGAATGTTTTACGAATAACGAAATTAACGAACGAAACCGCACAGGCCTATTTATCGTGTCATCCTCAACCAGAACATTGTATTACATTTCTAACAGAACAAAACAAACAAACAGATAAAAAAAACACAAATTTTGCAAACTTGGTAGCTGATTAAATGTCCTTTGACCAGTATCTGGCCACTTGGAGTGCCTCTGGTGTTGCTGCAAGAAGGTCCTCCCTTGTGCATGTGGCAGGGCTCAGGGTGCATTGCAGCAGGTGGTCAGTGGTTTGCTCCTCTCCACACTCGCATGTTGAGGATTCCACTTTGTGGCCCCATTTCTTGAGGTTGGCTCTGCATCTCGTGGTGCCAGAGCGCAGTCTGTTCAGCGCCTTCCAAGTCGCCCAGTCCTCTGTGTGCCCAGGGGGGAGTCTCTCATTTGGTATGGAGCAGGTGAGGTGAAGTCATGGGTAATACTGTGCAACACGTTTTTTGTTCCTGGGTTATCAATGTCCTTTCCTAATTGGTTCTATCATAAATACATGGAGCTGTAAGATTAATTCAGTTTGGTGCTACTTAACCTGCTAACGCTATATATATTTTTTGTCGTGTCAGGAGCGACGTGAGAAACTGCAAGTTGTTCTGGTGTGAGAGAATTGGCCGTTTGAAAGGACGTTGCCCAGGAAACGTTGCCCGGATGTTTTTGATGTTTTACCATCCTTGTGGGAAGCTTCTCTCATGTCCCCGCATGAGGAGCTGGAGCTGACAGAGGGAGCTCATCCTCGCTTTCCCAGGATTTGAACCTGCGACCTGTCGGTTTTCAGTCCTGCCAGCACAGGGGTTTAACCCATCGCATTGAGCCACCGGGGGCTCCAATGCTATGGAACCTTTCTCTTTATATCACCTCACCTGCTTCATAGGAAATTTGCTACAAAACAGGAGCTTTTTTGTTGAGTTGTAGTTTAGTGAGGCACGAGCATTTTTGGAGATTGTAAAACAACAGTTTGCAGCATTCCATAGCCTCGAGCCATGGCAGGTCAAGTAATGTCAAGCTGCATTAATCCTAGTATAGATGCACCCTGTTTTGACAGTGTGGTGAATGAATTAGAACCAGACATCCTGAGGAGTGAGGTTGAATGGGCCTTAAGAAGCATTGCTAACAACAAGGCAGCAGGAGACGACGGGATCCCAGCTGAACTGTTTAAAATCTTAAAAGATGATGCTGTCAAGGTGATGCATGCCATATGCCAGCAAATATGGAAAACACAAGAATGGCCATCAGACTGGAAAAAATCAACTTATATCCCCATATCAAAAAAGGGAAATGCGAAAGACTGCTCCAACTTCTGTACAGTGGCCCTTATTTCTCATGCCAGTAAGGTAATGCTCAAGATCCTGCAAGGAAGACTCCAGCAATACATGGAGCGAGAGTTGCCAGATGTTCAAGCTGGGTTTAGAAAAGGCAGAGGAACGAGAGACCAGATTGCCAATATCCGGATGCTGGAGAATGGAGAAAGGCAGGGAGTTTCAGAAAAACATCTACTTCTGCTTCATTGACTATTCTAAAGCCTTTGACTGTGTGGATCATAATAAATTGTGGCAAGTTCTTGGTGGGATGGGCATCCCAAGCCCCCTTCCCTCTCTCCTGAGGAATCTGTACAAGGACCAAGGAGCAACAGTCAGAACTGACCACGGAACAGCAGACGGGTTCAAGATTGGGAAAGGCGTCCGGCAAGGCTGCATCCTCTCACCCAACCTTTTTAACTTGTATGCAGAACACATCATGCGAGGATGTGCGGGGCTTGAGGAATGCAAGGCTGGGGTGAAAATGGCTGGAAGAAACATTAACAACCTCAGATATGCAGATGACACCACTCTGATGGCCGAAAGCGAGGAGGAGCTGAGGAGCCTTCTAATCAAGGTGAAAGAAGAAAGCGCAAAAGCCGGGTTGCAGCTAAACGTAAAAAACCAAGATTATGGCAACAAGAATGATTGACAACTGGAAAATAGAGGGAGAAACCGTGGAGGCCGTGACAGACTTTGTATTTCTAGGCGCAAAGATTACTACAGATGCAGACTGTGGCCAGGAAATCAGAAGACGCTTACTTCTTGGGAGGAGAGCAATGTCCAGTCTCGATAAAATAGTAAAGAGTAGAGACATTACACTGGCAACAAAGATCCGCCTAGTCAAAGCCATGGTATTCCCTGTAGTCACCTACGGATGTGAGAGCTGGACCTTAGGGAAGGCTGAGCGAAGGAAGAGAGATGCTTTTGAGCTGTGGTTTTGGAGGAAAGTGCTGAGAGTGCCTTGGACTGCGAGAAGATCCAACCAGTCCATCCTCCAGGAAATAAAGCCCGGCTCATTGGAGGGAAGGAGACTAGAGACAAAGTGGAAGTCCTTTGGCCACATCATGAGGAGACAGCAAAGCCTAGAGAAGGGAATGATGCTGGGGAAAGTGGAAGGCAAAAGGAAGAGGGGCCGACCGAGGGCAAGATGGATGGATGGCATCCTTGAAGTGACTGGACTGACCTTGAAGGAGCTGGGGGTGGTGACGGCCGACAGGGAGCTCTGGCGTGGGCTGGTCCATGAGGTCACGAAGAGTCGGAGACGACTGAACGAATGAACAACAACAACAGATGCACCCTTTCCAAGTTCCAATGCGCCCATCCTTCCTGAATCAAGCTGAATTGTTTGCTGCACAATCGGGATTTTAATTCTCTCTGCCTTTTCCTCTTTGTTGGTGAACTTTGCAAAAAACGGCTTTAGATCCTCCCAGCCCGAACGTATTAGCGACGCCGGCTAATTGCCTTCTACAAAGGAAAGAAATATGATCTTTGCCTTTCCTCCCAGACTTTCACTGACTCATTATGCGGGAGCTTTTGTAGAGAGATTAGAGGAATTCTTCCAGCTCGGTCCCACCCTGGAACGCGCCTGTTCTGACAATAAAGCCGCTTGTTTCGCTGGCAGCCAAGAAAGGCAAAGAGGGGGAATGAGCATAACCCACCCACAATAAGGATATAGAAACCCCCAAGGGAAGATGGAAAGATTTTGTCGAAGGCTTTCATGGCCGGGATCACTGGGTTGTTGTAGGTTTTTCCGGGCTATATGGCCATGTTCTGGAGGCAATTTTTCTCCTGACGTTTCGCCTGCATCTATGGCAAGCATCCTCAGAGGTAGTGAGGTCTGTTGGAATTAGGAAAATGGGTTTATATATCTGTGGAATGACCAGGGTGGGACAAAGGACTCTTGTCTGCTGGAGCTAGGTGTGAATGTTTCAGCTGATCACCTTGATTAGCATTCAATGGCTTGGAAGTGCCTGGGGGGAATCTTTTGTTGAGAGTGATTTTATGTGCCTGTTTGTTTCCCCTCTGTTGTTTTGCTGGTGTAATTTTTGAGTTTTTTAATACTGGTAGCCAGATTTTGTTCATTTTCATGGTTTCTTCCTTTCTGTTGAAATAGAACATGAAAGGCACTGCAGACTACTTCAACCAGAGAAGTCAGCCATAGCAGAGCACCTGATGAACCAACCTGGACACAGCATTTATTTGAGAACACAGAAATGCTGGACCACACCAACAACCACCATGTCAGACTACACAGAGAAGCCATTGAAATCCACAAGCATGTGGACAATTTCAACAGAAGAGGAAACCATGAAAATGAACAAAATCTGGCTACCAGTATTAAAAAACTCAAAAATTACAACAGCAAAACAACAGAGGGGAAACAAACAGGCACATAAAATCACTCTCAACAAAAATTCCCCCCAGGCACTTCCAAGCCATTGAATGCTAATCAAGGTGATCAGCTGAAACATTCACAGCTAGCCCCAGCAGACAAAAGTCCTTTGTCTCACCCTGGTCATTCCACAGATATATAAACCCATTTTTCCTACTTCCAACAGACCTCAGTACCCCTGAGGATGCTTGTCATAGATGCAGGCGAAAGGTCAGGAGAAAAATTGCCTCCAGAACATGGCCATATAGCCCGGAAAAACCTACAACAACCCACTGAGAGATTTATTTATTTATCTGAAACATTTATATTCCGCCCTTCTCACCCCAAAGGCGACTCAGGGCAGAGCACAGCATATACACAGCAAACATTCAATGCCGAGACACACATTCTTATATACATACATAAACATTAAAAACATTTATCAAAATACTTGCTGTACCCGCCACGCGTTACTGTGGCCAACCTTCCCTCCCTCTTTCTCTCCTTCCTTCCCTCTTTTTCTTTCCCTGTTTTTCTTCTTTCTTCCATCTCTACCCTTCTTTCTTTCCTTCTTTCTCTCTCCTTCCCTCCTTCTTTCCCTTCTTCTTTCCCTCTTTTTCTCCCTCCTCTCCCTCCTTCTCTCCTTCCTCCTCTACCCTTCTTTCCTTCTTTCTCTCCTTCCCTCCTTTCTTCCTTCTCTCCCTCCTCTCTCCCTTCCTTCCTCTCACTCCTTCTTTTCCTTCTTTCTCTCCTTCCCTCCTTCTTTTCCTTCTTCTCTCCTCTCTCCTTCCTTCCTTCTCTACCCTTCTTTCTTCCCTTCTTTTTCCTTCTTCTTTCTCTCCTTCCCTTCTTTTCTTTTCTTCTTCCCCTCTTTCTCTCCTCCTCTCCTTCTCTCTTCCTTCCTTCCTTCTCTATCTTTCTTTCCTTCCCTCCTTCTTCCTCCTTCTTTCCCTCCTCTCCTCCTTCCTCCTCTACCCTTTCTTTCCTTCTTCTCTCCTTCCTTCTTCTTTCTTTCCTTCCCTCTCTCTCTCCTCCTTCTCTCCTTCCTTCCTTCTCTCCTTTCTTTCTTCCTCCTTCTTTCCTTCCTTCTTTTCCCTCCTTCTCTCCTTCCTTTCCTTCTCTACCCTTCTCTTTATTTCCTTCTTTCTCTCCTTCCCCCTTCTTTCTTTTCTTCTTCCCCTCTTTCTCTCCCTCCTTCTCTCCCTCCTTCCTTCTCTACCATTCTTTCTTCCCTCCTTCTTTCCTTCCTTCTTTCCCTCCTTCTCTCCTTCCTTCCTCCTCTACCCTTCTTTCTTTCCTTCTTTCTCTCCTTCCCTTCTTCTTTCCTTCTTCTTCCCTCTTTCTCTCTCTCCTTCTCTCCTTCCTTCCTTCTCTACCTTCTTTCTCCTCCTTCTCCTCCTTCTTTCCTTCCTTCTTCCCTCCTTCTCTCCTTCCTTCCTTCTCTACCCTTCTTCTCTCCTTCCTTTCCTTCTTCCCTCCTTCTTTCCCTTCTTCTTCCCTCTTTCTTCTCCCTCCCTCCTTCTCTACTTCCTTCCTTCCCTCTTTCCCTCCTTCTCTCATTACTTCTTGACTGTCCCTTCCATTTAATATTGTATTTATATCTTACATAGAAAGAAGGAAAGGAAGAAGGAAGGAAGGAGGGACAGAAGGAAGGAAAAAGGAAGGGAGGGAGGGAAAGAAGGGAAGGAAGGAAAAGAAAGAAGGAGGGACAGGAAGGAAGGAGAAGGAAGGAAGGAGGGGGATGAAGAAAGGAGGGAGGGAAGGAAATGAAGAAAGGGAAAGAAGGAGGGAAGGAAATGAAGAAAGGGAAAGATGGGGAAAAGGGAGGGAGGGAGGAAAAGAAGGACATAATATCAATAAACACCATTATAAAACCATATATGGGAAGAAAGGTGGGATAACAACAACAACAACCCGCCTTCTGGACCTAGGGTGCATCTACACTATAGAGTAAATGCCGCACAACCCCACTTTAAATGCAATGTCTCGATAGCTATGGAATCATGGGAATTGCAGTTTTACAAAGATTTCTGTGCCAAAGGGTGCTGGTGGCTCCCCAAATTACAAAGCTCAGGATTCCATAACATTGAGCCATGGAAGTTAAAAATGGAATCAAACTACATTCATACTTCAATGTAGATGCACCCAATTGGGTTGCAATAAGTCCACAGATTTATTGATTTATTTGTCGTGTCAGGGGCAACCAGTCAATTGTATTACATTTCTAACAGAACAAAACAAACAAACAGACAAAATACAAAATGTGTGAGTTTGGTAGTTGATTAAATGTCCTTTGACCAATATCTGGCCACTTGGAGTGCTTCTGGTGTTGCCAAGAAGGTCCTCCATTGTGCATGTGGCAGGGCTCAGGTTGCATTGCAGCAGGTGGTCAGTGGTTGGCTCTTCTTCTCCACACACGCATGTCGTGGATTCCACTTTGTGGCCCCATTTCTGAAGGTTGGCTCTGCATCACGTGGTGCCAGAGCGCAGTCTGTTCGGCGCCTTCCAAGTCGCCCAGTCCTCTGTGTGCCCAGGGGGGAGTCTCTCATCTTTATCAGCCATTGGTTGAGGTTCTGGGTTTGAGCCTGCCACTTTTGGACTCTCGCTTGCTGAGGTGTTCCAGCGAGTGTCTCTGTAGATCTTAGAAAACTATTTTTAGATTTAAGTCGTTGACGTGCTGGCTGATACCCAAACAGGGGATGAGCTGGAGATGTCTCTGCCTTGGTCCTTTCACTATTGGCTGCTACTTCCCGGCGGATGTCAGGTGGTGCAATACCGGCTAAGCAGTGTAATTTCTCCAGTGGTGTAGGGCGCAGACCCCGTGATAATGCGGCATGTCTCATTAAGAGCCACATCTACTGTTTTAGTGTGGTGAGATGTGTTCCACACTGGGCATGCATACTCAGCAGCAGAGTAGCATAGCGCAAGGGCAGATGTCTTCGCTGTGTCTGGTTGTGATCCCCAGGTTGTGCCAGTCAGCTTTCGTATGATATTGTTTCTAGCGCCCACTTTTTGCTTGATGTTCAGGCAGTGCTTCTTGTAGGTCAGAGCACGGTCCAGAGTGACTCCCAGGTATTTGGGTGTGCTGCAATGCTCCAGTGGGATTCCTTCCCAGGTCATCCTCAGAGCTCGGGATGCTTGTCTGTTCTTGAGATGAAAGCACATGTCTGTGTTTTAGATGGATTAGGGATCAGCTGGTTTTCCCTGTAATAGGCAGTAAGAGCACCTAGAGCTTCGGAGAGCTTCTGTTCAACCATCTCAAAGCTCCCTGCTTGAGCAGTGATGGCACGATCATCAGCATAGATGAAACTCTCTGTCCCTTCTGGCAGTGGCTGGTCATTTGTGTAGATGTTGAACATGGATGGAGCAAGCACGCTCCCCTGAGGCAGGCCTTTCTTCTGTTTCCGCCATCTGCTTCTCTGGCCCTGGAACTCAACAAAAAAGCTCCTGTTTTGTAGCAGGTTTCCTATGAGGCGGGTGAGGTGGTAGTCCTTTGTGATATTATACATTTTTCTCAGGTGGTGGTTTACAGTATCATAAGCTGCTGACAGGTCTATGAAGACAGCTCCTGTGATCTGCTGCCTTTCAAAGCCATCTTCTATGTGCTGAGTCAGGTTCAGCACTTGCGATGTGTAGCTCGATGACCATCACCAAAAAATATCAATATTGTACTGGCCTTGTTTTTAGATTCTGTTGTATTGTGTCATGACATTGCAAACTGCCTCGAGTACCTATGGGAAGAAAGGTGAGACAACAACAACAACAACAACAACAACAACAACAACAAGGCTTCTGGACCTAAGGTGCATCCACACTATAGAGTAAATGCCGCATAACCCCACTTTAAATGCAATGTCTCGATAGCTATGGATTTCTGTGCCAAAGGGTGCTGGTGCCTCCCCAAATTACAAAGCTCAGGATTCCATAACATTGAGCCATGGAAGTTAAAATGGAACCAAACTACATTCATACTTCAATGTAGATGCACCCAATTCGGTTGCTATAAGTCCACACATGACTTGAAGACACATGAAAGCACACATACAGAATGCAATACTATCTTGTTTTGCCTGGAAGCTACATCCGCTGCAACTCCCTCTTGATGCCATTGCTCTCTGTTTGTCCCCCTCTTTGCCCCGTGCTTAGCAGGATGTGTGATGCCGGGGAAGGGCTCTACACCTTCCAGACCCAGGAAGGGGAGCAGATCTACCAACGGGTCCACAGCGCTACCTTGGCCATCGCCGAACAGCACAAGCGCGTCCTGATGGAGATGGAGAAGAACGTGCGGGTGAGCGCTCCAAGGATGGTTTTGTCACATCTAGACCCTTTCTAGGTCTTGGTCAATTGGGAAGGGTGCCATTGTTCTTTTTGGGAAGGCTCCAATGTCATTTGAGAAGGTCTTGTTTCCATTTGGGAAGGTAGCATTGCCATTTGGGAAGGCGTTTTGCCGTATGGAAGGGTAACCATTGCCATTTGGAAAGGTACCATTATAATTTGGGAAGGTGCCATTGCCATTTTGGGACAGTGCCATTGCCATTTGGGAAGGTGCCATTGCCATTTTGGGACAGTACCACTTCCATTTGAGAAGATGGCATTTCCATTTGGGAAGGCGCCATTGCCATTTTGGGAAGGCATTGTTGCCATTTAGAAAAAATGGCATTGCCAACTTGGGGAGGTGCCATTGCTATCTTGGGAAAGTATCATTTGGAAAGGTCTTGTTGCTATTTGGGAAGGCGCCATTGCCATTTTGGGATGGTACCATGCGCAATTGGGATGGCACCATTACCATTTTGGGATGGTGGTTTCACCATTTGAGAAGGCGGCATTGCCATCTTGGGAAGATATCATTGAGATTGGGAAAAGTTTTGAGAAGGTGGCATTGCCATTTGGGACGGCGGGTTTGCCATTTGAGAAGGTGGCATTGCCATTTAGTGAAGATGGCACTACCATTTAGGAAATTGCCATTTTGGGATGGTACCATGCACAATTGGGAAGGTGCCTTTACCATTTTGGGATAGTGGTTTCGCCATTTGAGAAGGCGGCATTGCCATCTTGGGAAGATATCATTGAGATTGGGAAAAGTTTTGAGAAGGTGGCATTGCCATTTGGGACGGCGGGTTTGCCATTTGAGAAGGTGGCATTGCCATTTAGGATGGTGCAATTGCCATTTAGTGAAGATGGCACTGCCATTTAGGAAATTGCCGTTGCCATCTTGGGAAGGTAGCATTCCTGTTTGGAAAGGTACCATTGCTATTTGGGAAGGTGCAGTTATAATTTTGGTAAAGTGGCATTTACATTTGGGATGGTAACCATTGCCATTTGGGAAGGTACCATGGGCATTTATATGAAGGTGACATTGCCATTTGGGAAGGTCGCATTGCCATTTGGGAAGGCGCCAATCCCATTTTGGGAAAGCACATTCCCATCTAGGGAAGATGGCACTGCCATTTAGGAAGGCACCATTGCCATCTTGGGAAGGTAGCATTGCCATTTGGCAAGGTAGCATTGCTATTTGGGAAGGAAGCACTGCCATTTGGGAAGGCACCGTTGTCATTTTGGGAGGGTAACCATTGCCATCTGGGAAGGTTCCATTGCTATTTTGGGAAGGCACTGTTGTCATTTAGGAAAGATGGCATTGTTATTTGGGAGGGCAACCATTGCCATTTGAAAAAGCGCCATTGCCATCTTGGGAATGTGGTATTGCCATTTGAGAAAGTACTGTTGCTATTTGGGAAGGTGGCATTGCCATTTGGGACAGCATCGTTGCCACTTGGGGAAGATGGCACTGCCATTTAGGAAGGCACCATTGCCATCTTGGGAAGGTAGCATTGCCATTTGGCAAGGTAGCATTGCTATTTGGGAAGGAAGCACTGCCATTTGGGAAGGCACCGTTGTCATCTTGGGAAGGCGGCATTGCCATTTGGAATGGTAGCATTGCTATTTGGGAAAGAAGCACTGCCATTTGGGAAGGTACCGCTGTCATCTTGGGAAGGTGGCATTGCCATTTGGGACAGCATCGTGCCACTTAGGGAAGATGGCACTGCCATTTAGGAAGGTACCGTTGTCATCTTGGGAATGTGGCATTGCCATTTGGCAAGGTAGCATTGCTATTTGGGAAAGAAGCACTGCCATTTGGGAAGGCACCATTGTCATCTTGGGAAGGTGGCATTGCCATTTGGGACAGCATCGTTGCCACTTAGGGAAGATGGCACTGCCATTTAGGAAGGCACCATTGCCATCTTGGGAAGGTGGCATTGCCATTTGGAAAGGTAGCATTGCTATTTGGAAAGGAAGCACTGCCATTTGGGAAGGCACCGTTGTCATCTTGGGAAGGTGGCATTGCCATTTGGGACAGCATCGTGCCACTTAGGGAAGATGGCACTGCCATTTAGGAAGGCACCATTGCCATCTTGGGAAGGTAGCATTGCCATTTGGCAAGGTAGCATTGCTATTTGGGAAAGAAGCACTGCCATTTGGGAAGGCACCGCTGTCATCTTGGGAAGGTGGCATTGCCATTTGGGACAGCATCGTGCCACTTGGGGAAGATGGCACTGCCATTTAGGAAGGCACCATTGCCATCTTGGGAAGGTAGCATTGCCATTTGGCAAGGTAGCATTGCTATTTGGGAAGGAAGCACTGCCATTTGGGAAGGCACCGTTGTCATCTTGGGAAGGCGGCATTGCCATTTGGAATGGTAGCATTGCTATTTGGGAAAGAAGCACTGCCATTTGGGAAGGTACCGCTGTCATCTTGGGAAGGTGGCATTGCCATTTGGGACAGCATCGTGCCACTTAGGGAAGATGGCACTGCCATTTAGGAAGGTACCGTTGTCATCTTGGGAATGTGGCATTGCCATTTGGCAAGGTAGCATTGCTATTTGGGAAAGAAGCACTGCCATTTGGGAAGGCACCATTGTCATCTTGGGAAGGTGGCATTGCCATTTGGGACAGCATCGTTGCCACTTAGGGAAGATGGCACTGCCATTTAGGAAGGCACCATTGCCATCTTGGGAAGGTGGCATTGCCATTTGGAAAGGTAGCATTGCTATTTGGAAAGGAAGCACTGCCATTTGGGAAGGCACCGTTGTCATCTTGGGAAGGCGGCATTGCCATTTGGAATGGTAGCATTGCTATTTGGGAAAGAAGCACTGCCATTTGGGAAGGCACCGCTGTCATCTTGGGAAGGTGGCATTGCCATTTGGGACAGCATCGTGCCACTTAGGGAAGATGGCACTGCCATTTAGGAAGGCACCATTGCCATCTTGGGAAGGTGGCATTGCCATTTGGAAAGGTAGCATTGCTATTTGGAAAGGAAGCACTGCCATTTGGGAAGGCACCGTTGTCATCTTGGGAAGGTGGCATTGCCATTTGGGACAGCATCGTTGCCACTTAGGGAAGATGGCACTGCCATTTAGGAAGGCACCATTGCCATCTTGGGAAGGTGGCATTGCCATTTGGAAAGGTAGCATTGCTATTTGGGAAGGAAGCACTGCCATTTGGGAAGGTACCTCGGCTATTTTTGAGGAGATGCTATTGCCATTTCGGGAAGATAATATTGCCATTTTGGGAAGACAGCATTGCCATTTGGGAAGGTGCCATTGCCATTTGAGAACGTGGCACTGCCATTTGGGAAGGCACCATTTCCACCCAGAAGGGTGACCATTGCCATTTGGGAAGGTACCATTGTCTGCAGTTGGCACCCAGATCTTTTCCCTTTGCTCAGAGGGACCAATGTTAACACTCTCCCTCCTTCTCCTCTTTCCTAGCTGCTAAACAAGGGCACTGAGCACTACTCCTACCCCTGTACGCCCACCACAATGCTGCCACGCAGTGCCTACTGGCACCACATCACCGGCTCCCAGAACATCACCGAATCCTCTGACTATGGAGGTGAGTTCCTTTGCTTCTCCCTGGTTGTGATGTCTGGAATTGTAACCAGAGGCGGCCCTAGGTAATTTTCAACGGTAAGCAAACAGTATTTTGGCGCCCCCCCCCCCCCCAACCAATCATTGATATATATTTTCTGTTCGTCGTGGGAGTTCTGTGTTCCATATTTGGTTCAATTCCATCATTGGTGGAGTTCAGAATGCTCTTTGATTGTAGGTGAACTATACATCCCAGTAACTACACTTGCCGCACTTGCTCCCTTGCCTGGCCCGCTTTGGGTCCGGAGGCATGCCTGAAGACCCCGGCGTGTGCACCAAAAATCACCTCTTCTCCTGACTTTCTCCTCAGCCATTGGGACCGAGAGAGAGAGAGAGAGACAGAGGTGGAGATGCCCACCTTTCCTGAAGGTAGGCACAAAAACAAAGGAGGGAGCGGAGGTGGGAGATACCTCCAGCCAGAGGGTCTCTCTCTCTCTCTCGGTCCCAATGGCTGAGGAGAAAGTCAGGAGAAGAGGCGACTTTTGGTGCTCACACTGAGGTCTTCAGACACGGCTCCGGACCCGAAGCCGGCCAGGAGTGGCGGCTCCGCCCCTTGGCCCACCCGCGGATTGGGGAGAGGAGAGGAGGCGGGTGGAGCGCCGGGGGATCGGGAAAGGGAGCCGGTCATGGGGAAGGGATCGAACGCGGAGAACGATTGAGCGCCGGCTCTGCTCGCGCACCCGGTGGCCAGGTGGAGCAGGAACAAGAGGGGCTAGGCGAGGCTCAAGGGCCCGGCCCCTTTGGGAAGAGGATCCCAAGAAAGCCGAGGCTCCCCCCGGACTGCTAGGGCTGTTGTGAGCTGAGGGGGCGCTCTTCAAGTGGCAGTCGAGGGGCATTTACAGAGGCGCCTCTGCGCCCCTGGCAAAAAAAAGTGTTCTGCGACCGCTTACTTCGCATAATGGACGAGCCGCCCCTGATTGTAACTGTCCCTTATGATGATCGCTGCTCTCTTTTGTTCCGCAGGGGATTCGTATTCGGGACCCCAGGCCAGCTCAGAGACTGACCTCCTAAACCGTTTCATCTTACTCAAACCCAAAGCTCCCCAGAACGGAAAAAGCAGCGACAGCAAAGATCCCAAGTCGGCTTCCCAATGATGTATTCCCCGAGCGGAAGGAGAGAGAAGCCCCGTCCAGTGATGGCTCAAGACCAAGAGAAGCGGTCAGCCGGTCAGTCGCCGGCAATGAAGATTTCCTTTTGTCGTTCTGGTCCCTGCTCCGGCCTTTGTTACGGGATTTCTGGACAGCATTTGGGGCTGCGATTGGATCGGAGCAGCGTTTGCACAGGAGTCACTCCGGATCCAAGAATCGGGACCTCGGCGGATTGAAGATCATGAAGAGGGAGGACTAAGCTATATATTGTGACCCCCTATTTTAAATATATCATATTACTTAATGCATATTCTGTATATCAAGAGACTTTTCTCCCCTCTTACACAAATGCACATTTCTTGGATTTTTCAAGCATCGGTGTGGGTTTTTTTCCCCTTCAACGGCATGTTCCCCCAAATGGAGAGAAAATGGATGGAGCAAAACTAATGAACTTGAACTCTCCAGAGGACAAAAACCATTGTGTTTTGGTTTTGGCAAAAAGATAAGATTTGGAAGGTTTGGCTCATGACACAGCTCCCCTGCAGAGAAGGACACCTCAATCCTCGCTGCGGATGTAAACCGGGGCTTTTGGAGGCCAAAAAAATAAAACCGGGGCGTCCGCACAAGGATCCTTCCAGGGAGAAAGAAGAGTGTTGTTTCCTTACAAAGGAGGAAGAAAACTTTATTGTTGTTTGGGAAGTTTGTAATGCTCAGAAATGGTTGGGTTTTCAATTCACTGAACCGGAGATCGAGAGTATGCCAACTTTCCTCAATAATGTGCTCTCCAGTCTGGACGCTTTGGACTGCAGCTGCTATGTGTTGGCTGGGGATCATGGGAGCTGCAGTCCAAAGCCAAGTTGTGGATAATGGGAGCTGCAGTCCCGTTCCAAGTTGGAGCAAGGCTGTAGTTGCCCTTGAGGCCTCTCAGGAGAAGACCTTTCGAACTTCGGCACATGCGCCCTTCACTCGGGCCCTTTCACGCACACAACCGTCTCCTAAAATGGACCACTATGCCTTGGAGTCCCGCCTCGCAGGGCAGGCGGGAGAGTATTTCACTGGGTGTCCTTCTTTCCCAATCTGGAGCTTGTCCTCCACTTTTGCAAGGGTTAGGGCCAACTGCCTTCTTTGTTTTCCTCTCCCAATGTGCATCCCATTTGGTTTGTGGATATTTATTTATTGCCAAGAGTAGCACTACAGGACACCATTTTTGTTCCTGAGTTATCAATGTCATTTCCTAATTGGTTCTATCACAAAAAACATGGGGAAGGTTGATTAAACTGCCCAAACTTTGTATTGTCGAAGGCTTTCATGGCCGGAATCACTGGGTTGTTGTAGGTTTTTTCGGGCTATATGGCCATGTTCTAGAGGCATTCTCTCCTGACGTTTCGCCTGCATCTATGGCAAGCATCCTCAGAGGCAGTGAGGTCTGTTGGAACTAGGAAAATGGGTTTATATATCTGTTGCCTGTGCGGAGTGCAAGGAAGCTTCCTCTACAATAGGCATGTGCAAACTTTGGCCCTCCTTCCAGTTGGTTTGATGTTATCCAGGTGTTTTGGACTTCAACTCCCACAATTCCTAACAGCCTCAGCTTAAGCAGCTGAGGAGGAAAAGGAAGGGGCCTGAGGCTGTTAGGAAATTGTGGGAGTTGAAGTCCAAAACACCTGAACATCAATTACCTGGATCAGTCACAGTCTGGTTTCAGACCTGGCCATGGCACTGAGATGGCTTTGGTCGCCTTGGTGGATGATCTCTCACAGGGAGCTGGACAGGGGGAGTGTGACCCTGTTGGTTCTCTTGGACATCTCAGCAGCTTTCGATACCATCAATCATGGTATCCTTCTGGGACGACTCTCCGGGATGGGTCTTGGAGACACTGTCCTGTCATGGCTCCGGTCCTTCCTGGAGGGCCGTTCCCAGATGGTGAAGCTGGGAGATGCCTGCTCGGACCCCTGGCCTTTGACCTGTGGCGTCCCACAAGGTCCATTCTGTCTCTCATGCTTTTTAACATCTACATGAAACCGCTGGGAGAGGTCATCCGGAGTTTTGGAGTTAGGGTGCCATCTCTACGCAGATGACATGCAACTCTACACTCTTTTCCACCTAACTCCAAGGAAGCCCCTCAGGTGCTGGACGAGTGCCTGGCCGCTGTGGCTGTCTGGATTATTATTATTATTATTATTATTATTATTATTATTATTATTATTTGTACCCCGCTAGCATCTCCCGAAGGACTCGATGCGGCTTACATAGGCCAAGGCCTCAAAACACAACATAACAATACAATACCTAAAGCAAAATAAAAACAGTTAAGCAGTATGAACAACAACAATAAAACAATACATCAAGACACTATAAAACTGGGCTGGGCCAGAGTAATGGGTACAAGATTAAAAGTGCTGATGTGGCAGGAGGTATGCAGGATTATAAGTAAGTGCAGTGTGCAGAGTGCGGCAATCTTAATTCTAATAAAGTGCTTCTAGGACTTGGTATTGGAGGTTCCTAATCTGAGAAGGCACATCGGAATAGCCAGGTCTTCAAATTCTTTCTGAAGACTGCCAATGTAGGGGCCTGTCTGAGATCTTTTGGGAGGGCGTTCCAGAGTCGGGGAGCCGCCACAGAGAAGGCCCTGTCTCGTGTCCCCACCAACCGTGCTTGTGACGCAGGCGGGATCACGAGCAGGGCCTCTCCAGATGACCGAAGTGAACGCGTGGGTTCGTAGACGGAGATGCGGTCACGCAGGTAGGGTGGTCCCAAACCGTTCAGGGCTTTGTAGGTAAGCACCTGCACCTTAAATTGGGCTCGGAAAATAAACGGCAGCCAGTGGAGCTCCTTGAACAGGAGGGTTGACCTCTCTCTGTAAGGAGCCCCAGTTAACATCCTGGCTGCTGCCTGTTGGACCAGTTGGAATTTCCGAGCCGTTTTCAAGGGCAGCCCCACGTAGAGCGCATTGCAGTAATCCAATCTAGAGGTGACCAAGGCATGGACCACCCCGGCCAGATCAGCCTTCGTGAGGTACGGTCGCAGTTGGCGCACGAGTCTCAATTGTGCAAAAGCCCTCCCGGACACCGCCGACGCCTGAGCCTCAAGCATAAGCGATGAATCCAAGAGGACTCCCAAACTGCGGACCTGTGGCTTCAGGGGGAGTGTAACCCCGTCCAACACAGGTTGCCACCCTATACCCCGATCCGGTTTGCGATCGACCAGGAGGACCTCTGGATGAGGACAAACAGGCTGAAGATTAATCCCGACAAGACAGAGGTCCTCTTGGTCAATCGTAGATCAGGTTATAGGGTGGCAACCTATGTTGGATGGGGTTGCACTCCCCCTGAAGTCACAGGTCCACAGTCTGGGTGTCCTCCTGCTCATCACTGACGCTTGAAGCTGAAGCGTCGGCGGTGGCCGGGAGGGCCTTTGCACAACTAAGACTTGTACGCCAACTGCGACCGTACCTCGTGAAGGCGGATCTGGCCAGGGTGGTCCATGCCTTAGTCACCTCCAGATGGAAGGTAAAGGTGGTCCCCTGACATTAAGTCCAGTCATGTCTGACTCTGGGGTGTGGTGCTCATCTCCATTTCTAAGCCGAACAGCCAGCGTTGTCCGTAGACACCTCCAAGGTCATGTGGCTGGCATGACTGCATGGAGCGTCATATGGTAGCGGGGTATAAATAAAGGTTTATTATTATTATTATTATTATTATTATTATTATTATTATTATTATTAAAGTTTGCCCATGCCTAATCTAGATGAAACTAATGTTTGCAGTGATCCGACAGACTAATATAGCACAGTTCAATGCAAACTCTATTAAAGATGTCCGCACTGACTATATAATGTAGTTTCAAACTGCATTATATGCTAGTGCAGATCCGGTTTCTGTTCATTCACAATCCACTTCTCCACCGTTCTCTAGTCTTGCTGTTCAAGAATCCAATTTTTGCTCCAATGCAAATCCGGTCCTTTCCTTCTTTTTGGAGACTCTCTTCGTCACCTTTTGCCATCGATTTAGTCATGTCAAAGAAGGAGAATTGGGACACTTTTCGCGGAGCGGCTGGTCTTTCCTCCCCTCTTTCCTGAATTTTTTTTTACAGAAGCGATTGTTTTTCTAGTTTTTTCCTATTTATTGAATAACTTTTTAGAAGGGCTATCTTTTTAATCGTGGTACGGACCTTGGTATCGTGTGGGTTTTTTTGTGTTCTTCTTTCTCGTCTTGTTTTCCAAATGATGCCGGAGGTACTTCGCCTCTGGCGCGCTCTGTATGTGTAAATAATAGCCGTATGTTTGGACCCTGTGTATAAACGGAGGAAGGGGATTCGGTGTTTTCATTTCCGAGCAGGTGAAAATGGATACGAAGCAAAAAAGGGACCACATTCTATCCAAGCTCACTTTGCTCCGGTCCCAGTTCACATCTACTTTAAGACCAAAGTATTGGAAGGGAAGGGAGAAGGAACCCATAAAACCATCCAATTCTGGCGATATTCATCCTTTGGGTGAAAACAGTCCCTTTATTGCTAAATGCAACGTTCCCATCCGCTCCCCAAACAAACCTCTCTGGTCAATGCTGCCATCCATGCATGATACTTACGAGGGGCGTTGATTAAAGATTTCCCCCGTGGACCCACTTCTTGTGGACAGAGAGCAATGAAACTTGGCCCAGTTCTGAATCCTTCTCTCCGATGCCACCTCAGGACACACACTTCTCCCATCTTTTGAAGCAATTCATAGAATCATAGAATCAAAGAGTTGGAAGAGACCTCATGGGCCATCCAGTCCAACCCCATTCTGCCAAGAAGCAGGAATATTGCATTCAAATCACCCCTGACAGATGGCCATCCAGCCTCTGTTTAAAAGCTTCCGAAGAAGGAGCCTCCACCACACTCCGGGGCAGAGAGTTCCACTGCTGAACGGCTCTCACAGTCAGGAAGTTCTTCCTCATGTTCAGATGGAATCTCCTCTCTTGTAGTTTGAAGCCATTGTTCCGCGTCCTAGTCTCCAGGGAAGCAGAAAACAAGCTTGCTCCCTCCTCCCTGTGGCTTCCTCTCACATATTTATACATGGCTATCATATCCCCTCTCGGCCTTCTCTTCTTCAGGCTAAACATGCCCAGCTCCTTAAGCCGCTCCTCATAGGGCTTGTTCTCCAGACCTTTTATCATTTTAGTCGCTCTCCTCTGGACACATTCCAGCTTGTCAATATCTCTCTTGAATTGTGGTGCCCAGAATTGGACACAATATTCCAGGTGTGGTCTAACCAAAGCAGAATAGAGGGGTAGCATTACTTCCCTAGATCTAGACACTATGCTCCTATTGATGCAGGCCAAAATCCCATTGGCTTTTTTTGCTGCCACATCACATTGTTGGCTCATGTTGTAAACACCTTGCTTGTAGAAGTCGACAGGCTGCTCCAAAAGTAGCATTGTGACTTTGGTAATCAAATTCTGGAAAAGACTGTTAAGGAAGTGGTCTGCAAACAGAAACAAATGCGGTCATTGCTAATAGTCAACATGGATTTATCAAAAACAAGTCATACCAGACTCATCTGATCTCTTTTTTCGATAGAGTTACAAGCTGGGTAGATGCGGGGAATGCCGTGGATGGTGTACCTGGATTTCAGGAAGGCCTTTGACAAGGTCCCCCATGACCTTCTGGCA